CCCGCTGGACCTTCCCGTATCTCTTTCTGCAGAGGACCGAAAGTTTGTCCAGGAACTTGCCGACAAACTACATCTTCCATGGAAGACTGTTCAAAATGACGACGGCGATCGCCATATTCAGGTTACAGCTCCACCTAAGCTGGTCGAGGGTGATTCGGACGACGAGGATGAGATGGACGACGAATCCACGAAAGCCATTGTACGCGTCGTACAGAAGTACGAGCAGGCCAAGGTTGTCGACATCTCACCCGAAGACGCCCAAACTGAGATGCAAAAGAAATACGACGAGAAGTTCGACGCTTGGAAGAACGACTACTACAAGAGCAAATTCGATTGGGATCGCAGCAACGAGGAGGAGCTACGCAAACTGACGGAGAACTACGTGCAAGGATTGCAATGGGTTCTTTTCTACTACTACCGCGGAGTAGCGTCATGGCCATGGTACTATGGCTACCACTACTCGCCCATGATTTCTGACGTCAAGCGGGGTCTGAAGGCGGACATCAACTTTAAGCTTGGACAGCCGTTCAAGCCTTTCCAGCAGTTGATGGGTGTACTGCCCGACCGCAGTAAGAGCATCGTACCCAAAGCGTACCATCCTCTCATGACAAACGAGGACTCTCCCATCATCGATTTCTATCCCCGAGACTTTACTCTCGATATGAACGGAAAGAAACAGGACTGGGAGGCTGTTGTCAAGATTCCGTTCATCCAAGAGGACCGTCTGCTCAAGGCCATGGCCACCAAGGAAAATGACTTGACGCCAGATGAAAAGATGCGTAATTCATTTGGTGTTTCTCTCAAGTTCACATACGCCAAAGATCTGGATTTCGTGTACCAGTCATCTCTGCCAGGCGTTTTCCCGGACCTTCCCCACTGCAAGTGCATCGAGAACATATTCGACCTGCCGACTATGGAGGGACTGGAGTACTACATCGGCCTCATGGACGGTGTTAAGCTGGGAGCCGAGGCATTGGCTGGCTTTCCCAGTTTGAAGACTTTGCCATTCCATGGCAAGCTGGAGTTTGCAGGCGTCAATGTTTTTATGCAAGATAGCCGGAACGAAAGCATGGTTATCACACTCCTTGATACAGAGCCACGACAGTCTGTCTCCCACGCGCAGGCCAAGCTGGGCAAGGCGGTCCATGTTGGTTACCCTTTCTTACACGAAGCGAAAGTGGTCAAGGTATCGGACGAGTTATTCGACTACGTTCTGCCCGAGGATGGCCCATCTCCCGCACCTGTTGCTATTCCTCATGGTCCACAGGAGATCTCTAATTGGAAGAAGACGGCCAACCGCATCGAAAACCAGTACAGCAAGCGCCTCGGTATCAACGTCGGAGAAATTGAGTCCCTCGTGCACGTAGAAATGCTCAAGGGACTTAGGAAGACTGACGAAGGAGCCACCATCAAGGAGTACGGTGAGGTTGCTGGGCTGCAAGTAGAGTACGCGACCCAGACAGTCGTAGACGACGTCTTCAGCGCGGACCCTCGCTTCCTGGAGAAAGAGGCACTCCCTATCGAGGAGGAATTCCCCGAAGGAGCACGCGCATTCTATCTCGGAGACTACGCCTATGGCCGTCCTCTGCAAGTCGTCAGCCATGCCGACAACAAGGCTACAATCATGGTCGCCAAGCTCAAGAAGCAAGAGCCGCATTTTGGACGTGAAGTTGTCAGCAAGGCTGAAAGGTCAACACCCTATGTTCCGTCTTACGTTGTGGCCAGGCAATTGAACATGCCGCCGCTTGCATTGTCCAAGCTTACGTCCTCTTTCAACGTCAACTCAAGTGGCCTCAAGCTCAACCTTGGATTGAACCTCAAGTTCGAGGCGAAGAAGCTCAAGGTGTTGGGCTATTCTCGTAAATCAGCCAACGGATGGGAGTATAGTCAGAAAGCGATGGATCTTTTGGCGCAGTACATGATCAAGTTCCCAGAGTTTGTTGCCGCCATCATCAACAACCCGACTGGTGATGGATGGGAGGACACTGACTTTTATCCTCCCGAGGTTGCAAAGCAGAAGGTAAAGGAGATTGGAGCCTGGCTAAAGAGTGTCCAAACCAAGAACTTTGAGAAAGTACCCTTGGACGCCGAGCAGCTTGACTCTGATACAGTCAAGCTCATCGAGCAAGCGGCTGATGCCAACTTCCCACTTACACAAGAAGTGGAGCCCAAGACCGTCGCCAAGGTGCCACGCGTTGCCTTGTTGAAGCCGTCTGACGCGGAGCAGCGTCTTGGACACCAGAACTTTAGCATTGGCGATCGCATCGTCTATGTTCAAGACTCTGGAAGGGTACCAATTGGATCATCAGGTACCGTGGTTGGCAAGACCCGCACCGCACGTGTTTTGTTGCTGGATGTTGTGTTCGATGCCACCTTTATGAGCGGTACATCGCTCGGAGACCGCTGTTCGCCATTCAGAGGATCCACTGTTCCAGCAACTGCAGTTCTCAACATGACGGATCAGCAGGTCGTCCACTATTCCAGTGCCGCTGCCGCGAAGCGCCCACAACAAGTACCTTCATCGTACAACATGCCTCGCTTCGGTGCCCCTGGGGGTCCTCAGCTCGTTCCAGCGGGTACGCCAGCACCTCTTCGTGGGTCATACCGAGGAGCATTCGGAGGCGCGAACGGACGGGGTGGAGGCTTCGCACCACGCCAAAGTCCAGGACCACAGCAACCCCAAGGACAGCAGCAGGCCCTCCCGATCCATGGCGGACCACCTCGTGGTGGCCGTGGCGGATTTGCGCCCCGTGGTGGACAAGCAAATGGCCAGCCCGCGCAGAACCAGAACCAAGCTCCAAACGGCGGCAACGCTCGCGGTAACCTTCGAGGTGGCTCAGCAGACTTCGTTCCCCGTGGACGAGGAGGCCACAAGGGCCGTGGTGGCTTCACTGTCATCGACAACACTGACCCGGCGGAGGGAGTCGTTCCTAATAACCCGAACTTCCAGCCGCGAAACTACTCGAACGTGCCACCGCCGGCCAATCTAGATGGCGGACGTGGTGGTAGAGGGCGAGGCCGTGGTCGTGGCGGATTCCGTGGGCGTGGAGGCCCAAGGGGCGGCGCGCAACCTGCTCCACAGTAGTGTCTTCTTCTCGATCATTTCAACGTCTGTTGGGTATTGTTTGAGCGTTCCAGACAGTAAGTTAGCGTGGCGTTGCGGCGTTCAGCGCGAACACATCTGGGAGGAATGCGTAGACGATGCGCGTACATGTCAGGGAAAGAGCTCAAGGGTTGGGAAGACAACGGTGGATGATAGGAGTGGTGAAGCCTGATACCCATATTGAGTCGTTGGTAGCAGCATCAATAATATCAAGCTCATTCGAACATGTATACTTGTGACAATGTCCGCTCGTCTGACATGAGATGGTGAGACGGTGCACTAGCGTCAAATATGTGAACCCTGGTCTCATAGGGCTGAGCTCCGACCTCCGCGCAAGAGTCCAGATACGTGTTAGGACCACCGAAGGCTACATCTCCGCGCCCACCTACAACAATCTTCCCTCCCTCTCGTGGCCGACAGAGGTTGATAGACTGGGCTCTGCGCTCACCCCACACATTTTACAATGCATTCGACGCTTGTGCGTCTTCAGAATGTCTTTGGCTTCTTTACCACAGTCGCTTTCACAGTCGCGAGTATCATCGCGCTGAGCAGCTTCGTCTCCCCGCAGAACCCGACGGCCAGTATATCGCTGCGCAATGTGCAGGTAGTGAGAGGACGGCCGCACTACTACTCACCCAAACGGGAAGAGTATGCGCACGTCAAGTTCGACCTAGACGCCGGTATGTCTCTCACACGAGTCGCAATTACGCTGCGGCCAAGCATTCAAACACCATGACTGACGCCTCCATGCAGATCTCAGCTCCCTCTTCAACTGGAACACGAAGCAAGTCTTTGTCTACCTCAAGGCCGTCTACCCCTCCACCCGCGCCTCCGAACCTCCCTCCGAAGCCATCATCTGGGATGCCATCGTCGCCTCAAAGTCCGCGCCCTGGAACCAGAACCACTTCATCCACCCCGATCCCAAGTCCAAGCTGCCCAAGCAATCCGCCAAGAAACGCGCTGCATCCAAGCAAAAGACCGCGTCGCCCTACCCCGTCGGTGAACTCCACCTCGATAACCAGAAGCCCAAGTACAAGATTACCGACATTACTGGCAAGCTAGGCAACAGGACGGATGTCACATTGGAGCTGGGGTGGAATGTGCAGCCGTGGGTTGGCGCGCTGACATGGACCAACTGGAACACGGTCGGTGTTTGGAAGGGTCTTGAGGGAGGCAGGAGCAAGGCGTTTAGCTTCCCCGAGGTGGGCGCCAAGGCGGCGACACCAAAGGATTTGGAGACTGAGAAGGGTGCGGAGGGATACAGATTGGTTGTTGGTGAGGAGGTGCCGCTGAAGAAGGCTGCTGTCTAGAGAAAGCGCGGATGGGAGATGTGCGCAGTTGGGCGTTGGAATGCGAGATTATATGCGATACCAGATACCGACCATCTTATGAGACCTAGTCATTATGGAGAGATGCTGCTTTAGCACCCATGCTGATAATGTCAATTCGCACGTCTCCATGTGTTGCCGTAACTTCAATGCAAGTTTTGGAGCACGATCTAGGTTGGTAAAACCGACCCGTTGCCACTGATCAAGCTGACAATGATATGAGATCTTCCTCATTTGATGGGAGATAATGTGCTGGTAGTAGCGAAGGCATGCTCGGTACAAGGTCGGACCTCCGATCTCGCCGCAACCCGCCACTTTTAGGTCGTTGGATTTCAAAGCGCGCTCCACAACCCTCAATCACTCACATCATGCGCCATCCGCGACACCACCCACACAACCCTTCCTCCCGCCTATCCGACGACGCTCCAGATTAATACCATACTTTAGAGGGTTTCGGCTTGCACACACACCCCTACAACGAACCACTTTCCGTCGACACCCGTCAACGCAAACCCCACCGACCCTCGCCGTTCATACATACCCAGGCCATCAGCGCCTTCGTGTTCGCGATGCCTCTCGAAAACATTCGCAACATCGTCCTCGTCCTCTCTGGTAAAGGCGGAGTCGGAAAATCGAGCGTTACCACGCAACTCGCCCTCACACTGTCGCTACAAGGACATTCGGTCGGTGTCTTGGATATAGACTTGACGGGCCCGAGTATACCGCGCTTCTTTGGTATTGAAGATGCGAAAGTAAGACAGGCGCCGGGTGGGTGGATACCGGTTGATGTGCACGGCGAGCAGAAGTTGGCGGCACACCAGAAAGAAGGATCGGAGGCGGCTGCAGGTGAGCAGAAGATTGGATCGTTATCATGCATGTCTCTGGGATTCATCCTGGCTTCGCGCTCCGACGCTGTAATCTGGCGGGGTCCAAAGAAAACTGCCATGGTGCGCCAATTCCTGACCGACGTCCTCTGGCCAACGCTCGATTACCTGCTCATCGACACACCACCTGGTACCTCCGACGAACATATCTCCCTACTTGAGACCCTTCTGAAGAACACTACACCGTCTCCTGCTCTCAATGCGCATGTACCGTTCTTGGCCGGCGCCGTCGTAGTCACCACCCCACAAGCTATCAGCGTTAGCGATGTGAAGAAGGAGCTGAATTTCTGCAAGAAGACTGGAATTAGTGTACTAGGCGTGGTAGAGAACATGGCAGGATTCGTGTGCCCCAACTGTTCGGAATGCACAAATGTCTTCAGCAAGGGCGGCGGAGCGGTCATGGCGACCGAGTTCGAAGTACCGTTCCTCGGCTCCGTACCAATTGATCCGGCGTTTGTGGAATTGGTCGAGAGTGGGACGAGGCCCGTATACCCCAAGGGTACTGTCATACAGGGCAAAGATTTGGATACCGAGGAGGTCGCGGCGCTGAAGAACAAGGGCGGGCTGTTTGTAGATAAGTACCGGGACTGCTCGTTGGCGCCGTTGTTCGACGAGTTTGTGACGAGATTGAAGGGGGATATCGGAAGGATTGTATGATCACATCGAAGTGGTTGATCGTTCGTAAGAGGAGTGGTGGAGTGAAGAAAGAGATATGATCGAAGATATAGAGAAGAATAGATACCCCTCCCTATATCGATGATCTTGCGGTGCCGGTGAGTCTTCGCCTCCACCAGAGGAAGCTCAAGGGATGCTGACCTTCTCATAGTCCTCAACATCCACCTTCCGTCTTTCGCCATTACTTGAGTCCCTTCCCCATTATGTGTTCCTCTTCACTCCTGCCCGTCGTTATGACAACGGCCTGCTGTGTCGTCATCCCAGCTCAAGTGACTCCAGTACTTCTGCCCGGATACCCGCGAATACGTCCTGACACAGCGAATCAGGAACGCAGTATCTTGCCGACAAGTAAATATTTGCTCAGCGACATCGGTAGTCTGCTCTTGTGACACGTCAGGCTCCAGTTAAGGTCATCAGTACCCGTCTCGTTCTCGAGATCCTACGTCTCATTGGTACCTCTAACTCCTTTCCCTATAGGGCAAACGCGCGACTATTGGCTTAGAGGTGAGAGAGCGCTTAATTATGCTTTCAGGTAAAGTTGAACGCATTTAATTATCGGTCAGCGGTTTTGCAAGCTCCATATAAAGCCGCTACTGCCCACAAGAAAGGACTCACAGTCTTTCGTCCTACCTACTACACCTACCAACTTTTCAAACATATCACAGACACCGAAAAACGACTGGTAAGTCACTATCGCGGCCCTGAGGTTACTCGACAAATAGAGCTTCCAGCGCAAGACGCCAATCAGACTTCCGCAATACTGACCTCGCAGGTTGCGAGATTGCCGATACTATGGACGCCGCGAGCAATCACGCCACATCGCCAGACCCTCATCCTACCGCGGGCAGTCCGCATCGGAAGACTCCGACACCAGTTCCAGAACAGGATCAGAAGAAGAGTCCTGGGACCAAATCACGTCAAGGACCCGGCAATGGCGCAGACCAACTCCCGAAAGGTGACTTAGTTCCTATCACAGTCAACGACAACGAGATTCTGACTTCTGAAGCAGAGCCGAATCCAAGCGCGAAACCGCACTTCATGGTCAAGCTGAAGTACAGCACCAAGATTCCTGTGACTTCTCCGCAAGGTCACCGAAACATCAGTAATGCCTCTTCTACTTCTCCGGGTTTGCGCGAAACTCCGGATGAATCAGCTAAGCCATCCATCGAAACCGCCATCGTCAAGCAGGAAGTTGAAGACCATGAAGCGACTGCACCTCGAAGCCCAAACTCGACCTCGCCACAAGTCAAGATCGAGAAACAGAGCGATGATCAAGGCTCAGCCCTGAAGCCCCTGAATGAGCCCACGGGAAGTTCGGGTCAGTCCATCATGGTCAAGGACGAGCCTGAGCACGATGCACATGAAAATGTCGACGATCGAAGTCAGGACCTGATTAGGGATGCTATGAGCATTGATGGTCAACTTGGCGACGAGTCAATACAGGTCTCGATCGAACATGACACTTCTGGCAAGTCCTCGGATGCTCTCGGTGTCCAGGCTGCTACATCTGAACCCGAGAACTTGAAGGGGACTGCGGCCGTGGAGGTGCAAGGTGTCGATGACGTCAACGGCGGCTATCAGCAGAGCGCAAACGACCCATCGATCGCACGTGATAACGACTTGTCGTTTGTCGCCGACAACAACATGTCTTACCCTTTCGATGTAGACGAGTGGGCCTCCTCCAACGCCATGGACCAAGCCGAGGCGGACGCAGCCAGCGGATCCCGAGGAAACCAATATCATCAACCGATCGACCACCAGGCCATGTCGTCTAACTTCACATATCAAAAGATGAATATGCGGCCAGAAGATACTATCGATCAAGAATCTCTGGCCTTTCTTAGTGGCGAAGCTGAAGCTGGCGTACCTTGGAGTCAACGTCAACACGTATTTACGGATCCAGTTCGCTTCACCAAGTCTAGTTCACCCTCAATTGGAAGCGCACGTGCACTCAATCCAGCTGCTATCTTGAGGGGCATTCCGCAGTACGCAACACATTCACCTCGTTATGGGTTGCAACAACCCGCTGGCCAAAACCGCCAACTCGCTCTCGACTCTGCCTTCAATCGTCAACAAGAGCTTCAGGCCCTGGTTGAGGAGAAGCAGAGACAGTTGGATCAAGTCAAGAAGAAGCAAGCGGAGCGTCAGCGATTGACTCAACAGGTATCTTACGATTCTGCCAGTTATCATGGCCAGACAGCTGCTGTACCTTCGTTCCTCACTGGCCCAATGAGCTATCAACGAGCCTCTCCGAGCGGCTATCAGCAGATGAACTACGGACAGGACAGCTCGCACAACTGGACACCAGAACGTCGTACTACCCAGGTCACCCAAAAGGCACGAAAACAATTATTCAACGAGCACGACTGCGACGACGAAGAAGGCAATGCTTCCGATGATGATGAGCCGCTTCGGACGCGGGTGGAGCGCCACCCATCAGTCACTAGCCTGAATGACGACTCAAGCGTCGAGTTCGTCGCGAGCAACTCCAAACCCAAAAGCAGTGGACCTATTGTCGACCGGAAGGTAGCGCGCATGCCACGCCCGCTTCCTCAGCCTGCTTCACCCTCTCCCACTCCCACTGAGAACGCACTGCCTTCCTCTGACGACATCCAAGAAATTGATTGGACGCTTCCCCGATATGAAATGCAACGCCAACCTCTCGAGAAAGGCGAAGAGATCCCTAGCGCAAAGGTCTCACTCCCTGGCATGGTCCGCGAAGAAGTCCTTCTCTCCCCAGACCACGCAGACGAAGAAGCCCGCCTACTGATCGATGTCTTCATCCCCGGTCAGCAAGCCATGTCATCACCAGACCCAGAGCCCGCCGTCGCTCTTCTGAACTTCCATACTATCACTCTCATGGTCATAGAGGCGTACGTTCAATTCGAAATCGGCGACGAGTTTGGCATGGGACGCGGCCACTTCCACCAAGACCACAACCGTGGCGAAGAGGACTACGAGCGCATGCGCGACGCCGTCAATGCCGATACCAACGAGATCTTCTTTGCCGTCGTGGACCGATACCGAGCGGGCTTAGAGAGCAAGAAGAAGCCGCTACAGCTGATTCGGGGTACGCAAGAATTCTGCGACGTGGCGCTTGATGTAATCTATTACATCAAGCAACATGGACTGCTGAAGCCAGAACCTAAGGCCAAGAAGGTTAGGGCTGACAAGGGAACTAAGCGGGGGCCTCAGGCGAAGACTGCGGCTGCTGAAGCTGCTGCGGTGAAGGGTAAGGGTAAGGGAACTAAGCGGGGTACGGCGGCCAAGCCGAACGAGGTGCAGCCTAGGAAGAGGGTGAAGACTGCGCCCAAGGTTGACGTCAAGAAGAAGAAGAGGAGTGGTCCGGAGCCAGCTCTTACGGTTGTGAGGAAGTGAGCGATTAGGCTAGGAGGATGGTCAGTGGCCATCGAGTCTTTCAGCGCTTGAAGTGAAGAAAAACGGTATTGGAAATGGAGCTATGGAGTCTCATTTGCGGGATTTCATGATCTGTGCAAGATGGTGCAGTCGTTCATGGTTTTTGCTTCTCATTTTTCCGTGGCTCGAGCCCTATAGACCTTTCCTTCAACATGCATATCCCAGCTTTCTAAGTCTACTTTAATGACAGCACTTCAGTGAAACGCGATAAGCCGGAGGATACGTATGATCTTTCCCATATTCTAGACGAAAAATAGACCGAATGTATCGTTCGCTCATCCTGCCCTGCTCCCATCGATCCGCCGAACAGCTCGCTTTGCTCTACCATGCAACTTTTCCAGAAACTCCTCTCGAGACAAAGGTGTCCTTTGGAAAGTCAGGGCTACAGCGTCCGACACGCTGTGCTCGTCGCCTTGATGTGTGACGTTTGCACACTCAGTCAAGAACTTATATCCACCACTCTTGACGTGGAAAAATGAACGGAATTCCAAGCCTCTGCAGAAGTCACTCATAGCCGTCATTGTATCCTGAGATTGGCAATGTCCCCAGTGAATGGTTGTCCGGAGCGCCTGGGGTATGTGATGTTTGATCCAAAAGTGCAGGTGACGTAAAGCATCCTTGTTGAAGGGAAATGTCGTGTTTGCGATCGCTGTGGAGATGTCGAAGGTGATTTGCTGGAGCGGCAGACGGAGCAGCGGAATCTTGAGGAATAATGTATCCGGATCATGGAATTCGGTGAAAACCTCTGGGATGACAACAGTAATGTTGGTAGGGTCGATGGCGGGTTGTATCGTGAAATGGAAGCTCGGTTTGCGAAACCATCGTGCATCATGAGCGCGGAAGTACCCATCGGCAGCCTTTTGGATCTCCTTTTGCGCTTCTTCTCGAATTTGCTTGCAAATGTGCGTCAGGGCGTTGTATATTGACGGTTTGGGGTAGACAACCAGTTGATCCTCTGGTAAGAAGTATTGGTACACCATGCACCGGAGCTCAACGGGGAGGTCGAGGAAGGAGCGTTCAGCTCCGCGCACGGCGGGAAGTGACGAATGGGAAGCGGCAAATCTAGTGTAGTCGCTCTGCAACCCTGTGTTGTCGCTATTATGACCCTTGGAAGACGTAGAAGCCATCTCGAGGGAGTATCCGGTATTTGTATGCGGATCGTAGTCGAAGTGTAGAAGTCGAGTCGAGGTGGTGGAGCGGGATGGGTACAGGCAGGACGCATTGAATCAATCTGAAAGGTACACAATGGAATAACAGAGCTTTTTCGTTAGGCAGACGTAGTAATCTAGCTAACTTGACGTCACAAGATGAATGAAGTCCGCTGTATTTGCTCGAGCGTCAGGGCCTGCTAGGCGCGCTCCTTGCACTTCCTTCTTCCACACTTTCCGTAAAGTACAAAAAGACTGAAACTCCGTAGAAAGCCAGAACTCAATACATGCAAATCACTCCACCATCTACTCAAGTCCATTATCACTTGCCAACATGACAGAACAAGCCATTTCAGTTGCTATCCCGGATACCATCTCATTGACACCCCAATCCAATAATCTCACGATGTCGGCCCCATCGGTCGCACCTGAAACGGCCAGTCGCTTTCTTCAGCTGCCTGCAGAACTGCGGTTTCTAGTATACGCACATCTTTCGCCCTACTCCTCGACTGATCGGGAGCACTTCGGCAAAGCTCAACACCTCAACCTCATACAAACATGTCGACAAATCCGCGAAGAAGCACCTCCAGAGATTGAGAAAGCTGCTGAAGATTTCTACCGCAATTATGAGAGGAACTGGTATGATAGCCACGGAGAGCGAATTCGCATCAAAAAGGATCGCTCTTGGGATAGGGTGAGTGTGCACATCGATCATCCCCTCATTGGTCGCGGTGTTCCGCTACTCGAATTACCTCTTAAGCGAGTCGATATCTGCGTTACTCGGGCCAAAACCCACGAGCTGAAGAGTGATCTCCTCCGAAGATACTATGCACAGTTGAAGAATTTCACGAGGAGGTCGGACGCTCCGACGCTTTGCTTGACACTCAACGGCTCCAGATGCATAAAATTTCGTCATTTGAAGGACAATCAAGTGTTCACTCATAGTAACTAAGTCGTGAAGTGGAAGACGTGTTAAAAGGTTCTTCGGAAGCACGGCATCAGATAGTGCGCGTAGGGCGTCGTATGGTTTTGTGGGTGAACGGTCACGGGCCAGCACGGTGAGATCGAGGTAGACTATGTCGATGTTTCATTATGAGATTACGACAACTTCTAATATATCATGGCGTCATCTACTACTTCTTAGCATAACTGTGGTAGTTATCAACAGGAGCGACCTCCTTGACGCTCTCCCAAATCTGCTCAATGCCCTTGACCGCCTCATCGCTAAGCTTGCCCTTCTTCAAGCTCTGCGCAGTCTGCTCAGCCTGAGCGATCTTGCTAGCACCGAAGATGACACCATCTTCGTCTCCCTCAAGCGCGCTGTGGTAGGCCATCCAGCGGTATGCGAGTTCCGCCTTGGTGACACCCTCCTTCTCGGCGATCTCGTTCCACTTGATGAGCGCCTTGCGCATGGTCTCGTTATCGTACAGCTTTCCGTACATGTTGCCCATGGCTTGCTCGTTGAAGCGTCCGGCGCCTGCATCGAGGTCTGCTGCTGTCTTCACAAGGAAGCCACCAGCGAGGGGTGAGTATGCGTAGAAGTGCATACCGAGCTTGCGGAGTGTGGGGAAGAGCTGAGTCTCCAAGTGTCGGGCAACAGGGTTGTAGTTACCCTGGTAGACCTGCGGGAGTGGGTAGCCCTTGGCCTTCGCGATGTCGTAGACTTGCTGAACTTGCTCGGCCGAGAAGTTGCTGAGGCCAAAGCGGCGGAAGATTCCCTTCTTGTACACCTCGTTCATGCCCTCCAGGGTCTCCTCAAAAGGAACGGTTGGGTCTGGAGCATGGATATAGAAGATGTCGAATTGGTCGATCTTGGCACGCTCGATGGATTCCTGGCAGTACTTGATTACAGTGTCCTTTTTGAGTTCACCGGGCGGACCAAAACCGCCAGGGAGCTTGGTATCGATAATAAAGTCCTTGCGCTTCTCGAGCTGGCCGATGGCAACTTCGGATCCAGCATAGAGACGTGCGGAATCAATGTTCTTGACGCCGTTGGCAAGCAAAACATCGATGAGTTTGGCACGCTCTTCTTGCGTGTTGAAGTACGCAGTGTCTGAGAGCGCAGCTCCTCCAAAGACTGATTTGACCATGGTGATGGGTGATGGAATTCGAGTTTGATTCGTGGGGATTGGTTTGTGGTGTTTAGGGTCAGACAAAAGCTTCAATGCGTAGGAGAATTGATAGCGGGGAAAGCACGAGCGATGATGTTGACGATATAACCGATGATGCAGGGGAGGAAGCCGCGGTTGAGCTGTTGATAGTTCCTTCCCAACACCCCTCTTCCATTGACTTATATACCCAATGCAGCAGGCAGCAGCTCGCGTCTTTCTCCCAAAACGCCGAGCGAGCCAGCATCCACATTACAAATGTTCACACATACCAGTCGTCCGATGATGCCACCAACACAATGCGTATTCTTGGTAAGGCGTGCTCCACTTATTCCCGACCCCTCTTCGGCAAGACTTGCACAATGGCCCCGCTCAACCACTCTCATGCATGTGCCGTACGGAAATAACGGCAGACAGTAACACCAGTCACGTGTTCATTGTGCAATTCAACTAAACACCGATCGAATGCAAAGTTTGTTCGTGTATTTGGATACAGGCAATGGCCCGATGTGAGATTTTGCCCTCACTTCCGACACAGACATACCTGCGGCCTTGGGCGGATCGCAAGCTAAGCCAACTAGTGATACGTATCTTTCTGCATGGGTCGAGTGGTCCGTAACGGCGGACGAATAGTTAACACCAAGACAAACAAAGCAGATTCAATACTCAGAGCGACATAATATCACAGAAGGATCTAGAAAGTGTCTGTTGTCTTGTCGTGCAATCTCAGCAATGCACTTGTTCTTACAAATAGTGAAACATCTAACGCGCATTTCCCTAAAGCGTAGTCTCACTTGCGAAATCATTGTGCAACATGACTACCGATCAGATCTGACATATACATCATGTGGACGTTCTCGTCCGCTCGGTCATGTTGCATTAGAGGAACGATACCCTCCTTGCCAGATGCGCAGTCTGAAAAACGTTCGTACAAGTTGGATAAGTTAAGTGGAAGTTTGAGAGAAAGAATGAACGTGTTGTTGTATGTGCTCATCGAGATAGATGTGGAGCCGAAGCCATGATGAGCGATCTGTTAGCCTTACAATAAACTGCTGTCTTTAGTACCGTGCCTCATCGCATGATCCTTCTTGTTCATGTGCTTACTACCACAAGTGAAGCGCTTGAATAAGAGAGATCATGCGATACGACGCGGTGCTGATCAAGACTACTACATTCTCTTGCAAAGGGATTACGATGGTCCGGAGGCCATGTCTGTCCAACCGCCATCCGCTCTCCAAACTCCAGCTTTCGTGTAATCCCCCCTTCCACCACCTCTTATGTACGCGAATCGAAAGTATTCGTTCACGCCTTCCATGTGTCTTGTCCACGTCCAGCTTTCCTCCATACGGTCAGCGTATTCATGGTACCTTTCTACATCATTGACCAGAACGCTCATTCCATCGTAAGGCTCAGGGAATGGATAGTGCCAATCGAAAGTGATGTTGGGTCTCAGATGGTGAAGATTGAAGTTGTTGTGGATGATAGGCGCAGTGATGAGTGGCAGTACGGTGCCGATGGGTGCGTCACCACGAAGTGCGCCGGGCGTCTCAAGGATACTGGCAAATCCCCAGCGTGCGGTCCCGTTGATGAAGAGGCCGATCAAAATGCCTTGGAAAAGGAGCGAGGGGCGTGTTTGCATAGATGTGCCAGGTACAAGGAGCAGGCCGAGGATGTAGTGGTGGATGCGGACGTTCATCCTTGGTAT